TTCCTTCCCATACTACTCATCGCATACAGTCTTTTGATGTTGTTATTTTCTCACTATTCAAATCAAGTTGCGCAGTTGCCTATAATGACTGGCTTGTATCAAATCCGGGAAAAACAATTACTTTAAAATGTATTCCACAATTAACAAAACTTGCCCTTCTGGCCTCCTTTACACCCTGTAATATAATTAAATCGTTTGAAACAACAGGTTTGTGGCCTTTAAACTCATTGGCTTTTACCGAAAATGATTTCATGCCTAGTTATACCACAGATAAAATCATAATGGGAGAACCAAGTGAAAATCTAGAGGTAATTGGTACACCATTACCCCTAGATTTTTTATTAAGATAATTTACCACTCTTATCTACCCATGAAACAGATTCCTCTTGCAACTATTTGAATAACCCCAACAATCAAAAACAGACTCCAGAACAGGTGCGGCCCTTTGCCTAAAGCTCCTCAAAGACAAAACAATTCAAAGAGAAAACCAGGGAAGTCAACAATTTATACTGACACTCCTGAAAAGGACAAGATTGAAAAACTACATTTGGAAAAAATTATAAAAAAAGGAAAAGTTATCAATTTGAAAAAAAACGCTTTCAAAGAAAACTACTTAATAAGACAGACCCAATTATTCAGAAAATTTCTCACCAAAAGAAAAAAATATTTAAAGATAATTGTCTCTCTGAAAACATAAGGGATGAAGATATAGCATTAAACAAGAATTCTTATGATAATTTACCCAAGGTAACAGATGTTATGCATAATACTGATATACATATTGAAGATTTCGTGTTATTAAAATTTGCGACTAAAAGTAATATAATTTATTATATCGGCCAAGTAAAAGAAGTTGCTACTATGATCACAATAAAATTTTTGAGAAGAAATGGAAATCAGTTTAACGTTAATTTTCCCTAATGTTGATGATATTTCTTTAGTAGAAACATCAGAAATTGTTGCAATTTTAAAATCTGCGACTCCAGCAAAGACAGAAAGAACAGCATTGTTACTTTTATTTCAATATAATTTCACATATTTAATTGTAAAATAGCTGTTACTATTTGTTTTTGCATTATTTGTGGAAAGTTTTTATTTGTACAATAAAACATTTAAAATAAATAAAGCTTAAAGATTTATTATTTTATTTATAATGATTTGGTCGAATATACCCCTCTAGGTTGTCAAAACTACCCCAGCGGTGGGGTACATTCGACCACTTTGAGGCTTAGTTTTAAAACAGTGGTAGATTTAACAAAAATCAATATTTAATATACATTATCTTTCTAATTTGTTTGTTTATGTCCATTACTAGTAATGTTACTAGTAAAATTAATCGTTTCTAGCAAAATATTATCTGTAAATTAGTAAAAACCTGCTAATATATATATATGTATATATATATATATATATATATATATATATATATATATATATATATATATATATATATATATATATATATATATATATATATATATATATATATATATATATATATATATATATATATATGTATATATATATATTTATATATACTTAGGTCGTTAAGAAAGTTCGTAGAACTACCCTATAAAAAAAAATTAAAGAGTTTTTTTTTAATTCCATTTTATTAAATGTTCAAAATAATGTCCATCATTATCTATACAAAGTTACATCTTTTCAAGCCATTCGTGAAACGTTTTTTTTTAATACTTTTCTTTGGGTATACTTTCTAGAAGCTTTGTTATGCAAGTTATTTGGCTTTTGACGTCAGTATCGTCATCAAGATTTTTTATTTTTTCAAGTCAAATAGCCAATAATCAGATAGAGCTAAGTCTGGTGAGTATGGTGGGTGGCGAATTATTGTAATTCTAGTTTCGTTTAGACATTTTGTGACGTTTGAGTTACATGGGATCGAGCGTTATCATGGAGAAATTTGAAATTATTTAGGTCTTTGCTTATTAATTTCGCATATAAAAGGTTTCAAACAATTTTTTATATAATATTTGCTAGTAATGGTGTCTCCCTTTTCAATGAAACCCAAATGAACAACACCTATTGTTTTGAAGAAGATGTAAAATATTCTTTTTGGATGAAACCTATCGCATCTTATTATAGTTCTTGAACTTTCAGCTTTACCGACCCAGCTAGCTTTAGCTGACTTGTGTTTTTCAGGGGATGAGTTGTGTACAACTCATCCCCTGAAACAATATCACATAGCCTCCATAGGTCATTTCTGAAAAGGGTTAAATTTCCTTACAAGCCTTAACTCTATTCTTTCAATTTTGATTGGTTAACTCGTGGGGTATCCAACATGATGTTAGTTTTCTTTTTTAAAGTGCATTGTGAATGTTTTTGTTGATTGTAAAACGAATAATCGATATCAGGGCTTCAATTATATCATGTGTTGCATGCGGATTTTCTTCAATAATGACTTGCACATGTTCAATATTCTCAGCTGTATACGTGGTTTGAGGGTGCCCTGAGCAAGGATCATCTTCAAGACTCTCTCTCTACCATCTTTAAATAAATTAACCCACTTGGCAACTGTACTATATTTTTGGGCTTGGCCGCCATGAACTAAAACTTTAATTTTATTGAATGTTTATTAAAAAATAACTTTTTTAATAAACATTCAAAATATTTCAACAAGTACTTATCGCTTTGGTATGCATGTTTGACATAACCAAACCTTGTAATTTGAATTTTCAAACTGGTATCATTCCATATTTTGACTTGCTGAAGTTTCCCCCAAAACTTTTTGGCACTTTTTACACTTGAATTGGTTTGCAGCTAATATTTTTGTTGGATTTTTTGCTTGGTTTATTTGCTGTTCTCCATTAGAGCTAAGCTTACGTTGCTTTTTAGCTTGCTTTGCTGCTTTTTTGCTCTCAGCATCTTTCAACCTTTCAAGTATTTCAGTTTATTGAGACACTCACCTTCAAATCTTTGCATATCTACATTTTTTCTTTTTTTGTGTGTCAACGTTTTGGATACAAAACATTTGTTACAAAGCTGCTGCAAGTGATTGGGCTAATTGCAATTTTTTTGCAACTTTTTTTTAAATTTCCTTTTGAATAGCCGGAGTAATTACAATATTAAAGGTTGTTTGCAGGTAAGGTGACTTTTGAGATGACTTTGGAGCTGATGCTATGTGATATATGCTGATTCTAGATGTTGTTGGTGTAGATTCAGAGGGCAGTGTAGTTCCTGGTGCTAGATTTGGTGATGGTACTATTATAGATTCTGGTTGTTGAGATGATGAAGGCTCAGGTTCAGATGTCGGTGTTTCAAATGTATTAGCAATTTGCAACTTTGACTGATCAACTTTATCGATGTTGAATGCAAACAAGCCAGTATTCTGAAACCCAGTGACTATCTGGGTACGTATAAAAACTTCACCAGAGCTAAAAGGTTTTTTTGCAAGTGACTGAAACATTCTTTTGATAAGTTGCTTAACTTTGTCTCTGCATAAAACTGTTGAAATATTTTGCGCCAAACTGTTTTGACATGGCAATAAACACCAACATGTGGCTGCAGAATGTGCAACGTAAGCAAATTAATGTTTTCAATGCATATAAGTACGACCCGATAAGTGACATGTATCACATGTCCATCTACTACTAAAATATGAATACCTAAAATAAGATAACTATAATTACATTAATGTAATATTTTGTGAATGTAAAATTAGATAAATATAGAAATATAAAATTAGATAACTAAAATTAGATTGAACTAATTACCTGGAATTTTCTTAATGACAGGAACATACATGTTAGAGCTGAGCCACTGCACAAATTGCTTATCTTCCATCCATCTGGATGGAGATATGGTGTATATTCTATCATCTGGACCACTTAAACACCAATCTCTGTACAGACGTTTTTTTGATTTGAAAATAATGTATGGAGCAAAATGATTACCAGCAGCATTAATGCAATTTCCAACTGTATAATGGATTTTTTGATTGTTACCAACCTATATGTTGGTAACAATCAAAAACTATATGTTGCTTACCTTGATCACCAGAGAAGCTAATTTAATCAAAATTCCACAAATGAAATGGAGTGTTTTCATTGATACCTGCTACGTTGAATTCTCTTTGCAGTGTGTTGAAATACTTTACTACTACTTCTTGCGTGCATGAAGCGGCTCTGAGTGATGAAATTTGCCTATGACTTTGATGTCCAAACTATGAATCCACCGGTTTATAAAAAGGTTATACCAATCTCTTCCTGGTGTACCATTAGGAAACAAATGAGACTGACTTTGGTGTTGTAAATAGTTGATAACTAGTGTGATGATGTTATTGTAAGTTCTACCGAAGCCCCAATTGGTTAATTTGATGAGCGTATCAACCTGATTCAACCTGATTCAAGTTGTTTTAACAATCTCGTGCTTAAACCACTGCCAATTGTTACACCTATGCTGTGGACACACCTGTGAAGAGTTGCTACTGGTATGCTGAATGATTTAGCAGATTTGTTAAGTGAAAATTCACCACTTTGTACTTTAGCCACCACAAGTGAAACTTGCTTTTTGGTGTAGTTTTTCTTTATTCTTTGCATGCAAGTTGTTTCAAGGCATATTTTATATTAAAATAGATTTAATAATAATCAATTTGAAATTTATGCAAACAATTTTGAAAGATTGCTTGGTCACTTGAGACTTAACTAATTAATAAAAACCGCAATTAACAAGAAAGTAACTAGCATATTTCATTTGTTTATTAGAACCATTTTATAAAAGCAGTAAATAAAAGCCATTTAAATTCAGTTAGAAAATTTGTTCATTGAAATTTATCCAAAAAACTTTTAGTTGGAAATTTATTAGTCACTTGAGACCTAATAAAAAAATCCACTTTTAAGAAATAAGCTATTGCTTCGTATTTATTTATTAGCGTATTTCATTCAACCCCACAACACTCCGTTTCTGTTTTTAACTCATAACTTTTTTTCCTAAATAGCAAATTCAATTTTGAAAAAAGATTCTTGATCCACATAAAAAGTTGTACCACTAAACATTTTAGGTTCAATGATACCGAATTTAATTTTTGAGAGTTTTAAGTTCCCTTTTCAAACAAATAAAAAAAATCTTATTACGAATTCCAAAACTTATAAACTTATAACAAAATATTTTTTTATTAAAAATAAAATTTTATACAATCTTACTCAGAAAAATATTCTCTACAATATAACCAAAAAATATTTGCAAAAAAATTATTCAATAGTTAATTAAGAGCGAAAGAATAATCATTGTCACAACCATTGCATTCTAACCGCTATTTTATTTTACCCTGTTCTACTCTATTTCTTTTATCAGAATAAAGCTGTATATATATATATATATATATATATATATATATAATATATATATATATATATATATATATATATATATATACATATATATATATACATATATATATATATATATATGTATGTATGTATATATATATATATGTATATATATGTATGTATATATATATATATATATATATATATATATATATATATATATATATATATATATATATATATATATATATATATACATATATATATATATATATATATGTATGTATGTATATATATATATATGTATATATATGTATGTATATATATATATATATATATATATATATATATATATATATATATATATATATATATATATATATATATATATGTATGTATATATATATATATATATACATATATATATATATATATATATATATATATATATATATATATATATATATATATATATATATATATATATATATATATATATATATAAATATATATATATATATATATATATATATATATATATATATATATACATATAGCTGTATGAAGACAGGTATAAATTATGTGTATATATGTGAATATATATGTATACACATATATATACACATTTAAATTTATTTTAAAACTTTTTCAGAAATGAACTATTTATTTTTATTTTATTTTATTTTAACATCTTCACTTCCAACAAGGCTGCAAACAACCACTATAAGAGTTGGAAGTTACTGGAAGAGAAAAGACTAAATCTGTAGAGCAAGATAACGATTGACTGATGACTTAAAAGATTGCAAATTATATGAATCAGGAAAGCAAGATGAAGGAAGCGAATTCCAAAGAACTGATGTTCGAGGAAAAAAACTAGAAGAATAAGAGTTTTTGAAGCACTTAGGAACAGTCACAGAAAAAGGATGAGACTTAATTGAATGGCGAGTAACACGAGAATGAATTTTAGTAGATGGCACAAGGGACGCTAGCTCTTTAGAGCAGTGCCTATTATAGTATTTGTAGAAAAGAGAAAGAGAAGCAACATTACGACGATGTGACAAAGGTTGGAGATTGGCTGCCAGAGCAGGTCCAACTATGTTTACAATTCGCTTTTGCACCTTGTCTAAAAGAGAAAGAGCATCATTAGAAGATCCGCCCCAGATGTGGCAACAGTATTCCATACAGGGACGGATTTGAAATTTATAGAGATAGAGAATAGAATCTGGAGTAAGAAAGTGTCGAGCTCGATAAAGAGATGCAACCTTAGCAGATGCTAATTTTGCAATGGATTTGATATACGGTCTAAAAGAAAGATCAGAAGTAAGAGTTAATCCTAGAAGATGAATGGTAGATGACTCATCTAGTACATTACCATTCATAAATATAGGAAGATCTAAATTATTACGATAACGATTGGCCGAATAAAATTGAGTTTTATCTGAATTAAAGTTCACCAGCCACTGTGAGCCCCATGCTGTAGCAGAAGTGAGATCCTTTTCAAGCTCAGATACCCCCTCCAAGCAATCAGAGAGTGTAGGCTTCTTATCATAATACCATAATATCATAATATCTTATCATAAACTACCATAAATAACCTAAAAAAAAATTCAATAACAATTAATTATATAAAAATTATTAAAATTAAAAAAATATATATTACTTTCTAATCTTTGAACATAATCTTTATTTAGTGAAGCTTCATGAGCAGTTAAATTCAAAACTTCATTTGGAATATAAAGAACTGTTTTTCCTTGTATTTTATACTTTGCATCAGTAAGTGTGGCCATAAACTTATGCAAATGACCAACAAACTCATTTTTTATGCCTTTAAAAATAAATAAATAAATTTAATAAATTTTACAATTTTATAATCAATATAAACATATTATGGTTTTGTTACTGATTCCTTTTCTCAATAATAGAAATAAGTATTGTTCAAAACAACCAAAATCATAATTACAAATTAACTATTACTATTATTAAAAATATTATTCTTATTATTTATTGTTACAGCAATATTTTGTAATTGGTTGTTTATATTTAAAATAATTTAAGAAGGTACTTTCTGGCCATGTTTTATTTTGAAAAAACTGTGGTCCATAGAAATGTGTCATCAACCCTAATAAGGTCTCAATGCCTGATGAATGAATCATTTGAAAATGAACGTCTTTTTTAATAGTATTCAATTGTAGTTTACAACTTCTTCTTCTTAGAAAATAAAATAACTGATCAACATAATATGAGGGTATATTAGTTGAAACAACAAGACTCTGTTTTTGAGCATCAAAATGACAAAGCAAAATTCTGTGTTTGTCGTCTGTATTTTTTATAAATGATACCATAATTTCATCATGTTCTGTACTCCACAATGAAGTTTTCAAACCACTTAAACTAACTTGCTTTTTCATAAATGCTAAAATCTCCTAAAAAAATAAAGCAAATTAAAATAAAATCTCCTAAAATAGCAAAAAATAATGGAGAACTGAATTTAGTTACTAACCAGTGTGTTGTCTTCATCAAAATCATTATCAAGACTTTCATTGCAAACTTTGTTGCAATTAGACATTCTAGATGTAGATTTCACAATAGAGAGATTAGGAATATTATTAATCATTAAATTTAATGCTGGATTACTGTTTTCTTCCATTTTTCTATTTTAAACACAAAGTATTTTAAAAATTTCAATATTTATACAGCTTGTTTTTAACAAAATCTATTAATAAGTAACAAAGAAATATAAATATAATAAGTTTTAATAAACGACAATGATAATCATCATCATCATCATCATCGTCTCCCTTATTATCTTAGTTATCATTATCCTCATCATCATCATCAATAAGTTATTATCAAAATCATCTCTCCATTACTTTCTTTGTTATCATCATCATCATCATCATCATCATCATCATCATCATCATCATCATCATCATCATCTTCAATAAGTTATTACCAAAAATCTATATTTTTATTGTTTTTTAGTTGAAATAGTGAAATATATTACAAAAATATGACAACTGATACTTTCAATATATTATATCAATGTTCAAATTAACTATCTACATGCTTGTAACTTGTTTCTCTGCGCAGCGGCCTTGTTCGTCAAGGTTCGTGTTTTGGAGTTATAGAGTTGAGAGAGGATTATAACCACAAGTCCTGGCCTTCTCAACCTTGGGGAGGTGAATTACAGAAAAAAAAAAAAAAAAAGCAAAATCCTTACAATTGAAAAATTTACTAAAACATTACAATTTAAAATCACTTTTTGGTGTGAAATTTTTTATTAATTTGTTATTAAACTGTTATTATCTATAAATTTAACAAATGTTCTTAGCATTCAAATCAGGAAATTTATTGATTCTTTGAATCACATTGAATAGTTTATTTGGACCGCCAGTTAAATATTTTTTAATCTTAATATCAAACCAAATAAATAACAAACAGATTTAGATTTTAATTAGGTTTGGAAATAGGTACATAATACCGCAAGATTCTGCATGCTAATGTTAGCCAATGAAAATGGTTTAAAAGTCTAACTTCTAAAAAAGCCAAATCATCATCTATGTTCCCTGTGATTACACTCCAACAGATGCCATAAGCATAGTATTGATCAGTCAATAAGACATAAATGACTTTTTGTCTAGTACGAAAAATTTTGGATTTGGAATTGGCCTTAACTAACTTCAATATTTCATGTGCTACATCTATTCCATTGAAACATTTTGGTGTGATGTGATCAAAATAAAAAACACCTTAAAATAAAATTTCTAATAACATAGATACAAAATGTTTTACAAATATAGAAAATTTTGTTTTCATAATGAAGGAAAAGATACAGAAAAGGCATCACAAAAAGTAATAAGAACAATACACAGGGTGGAGAAAATTACACAGGGTGGAAAGTAGAACAGGGTGGAGAAAAAGATTTAAAAGAAGCTTTTAATAATAACTTGTTTATTCACTTTGTTAAGTTTTGTTAACTAGTACCGGAGAACACTTTTGTATGACTATGACAGGAATGTTGTCTGGACCACAAGCAAAAAAAGAATTTAAGCCATAAACAAATTCAATAGCAATCAACCAGCGATGGAAACTAGAGTATTTAGATGTCTAAAAATGGATTAACTTTGTAAATAATTTTGCCCTATGATTAGAAAATGTAATAAGATCAGACTCATGTATTAGAGATAATGTTAGACTGGTCCTTGTTAATGACACTATTAAAAAACTTCCAAAAGTCTCTACAACCTTTCTGAGACAAATACAAGATTTTGTAAACTGAGAAAAATAGAGCTTAGCAGTAGACAGGTTGTTTTTTTTTGAATTGATAATTTTTAATAATAAAAAACATTTGTTCTCATGAGAGTTACTCTTGTAAAAATGAAAAAAAAAATGAAAAAAAAAAAGTATGAAATATGAGGATAGAGTAACTTGAAAAAGTACAAGAAAAAATATGGTATAAAAGTTTTTAAACAAAAAATATATTTAGAGGTCCAAACTGACCTTTGAACATTTAATGGGTCCCTAATATTATCTTACAAATTTTTTTTTTTTTTTTAATTTCAACCTGGTACTCAAAACACATGAATTTTATAAAAGTTTTAGAAATAGCAATCATATTTCATAAAATTTTTTTTTTAAAAAATTTATTAAAAAAAAACCTTGAAAAATTTACCTTTATTTAAAATTGTTGAAAAATAATCATATTTATTCAATAAAATCTAAAATTTATAAAACAAAATTTATTCAAAAAATTTTATACCATCTTATTCAGGAAAGTGTAGCTAAAATTATTTATTTTTTGATCCTCCCCCCCCCCTAATATATATTAGGGGGGAGGGGGTCAAAATATATTTTAACATAAATATATATATATATATATATATATATATATATATATATATATATATATATATATATATAATATATAATATATAATATATAGTCTTGCATGCTAGTCACAAAGTTTTTCCTATAAACTGTTGTTTTAAAGAGCGCGTTAATAAGCCTGACCAAAAAATGTTAAAAAATTTTTTTTTTTTTTAAATGATAGACTGCCTGCCCAAACCAAACCCTCAGTCAATGTAGCGGCACTCCCTTGTGAGTCAGGCTATTTGTCAGTCAATGTAGCAGCACTCCGTTGCGAGTCAGGCTATAAGATAGTCGATGTTGCAACACTCCCTTGTAGCAGCAGGCTATAAGGTAGTCGATGTAGCAAAACTTACGCATGTTTTAAAAATGTTTTATAATAAAATAAAAACAAAAACACCACTAATTAAAAAAAACTTTCTAGTCATTATTATTGCGGTTTTTTTAAAAAACAATAAAATTTAATGTACTTCTGCATTAATTTAATTGCTTTGACATTTCGACGACAATAAAATGCAGCATAAGAGACAATGTAAAAAAATTGTAGTCGAAAGAGACTTTTTTTACCATAAAAGTCTCTTTCGACTACACTATATATAAGGATATATATATATATATATATATACCTATATATATACATATATATATATATATACATATACATGTATATATATATATATATATATATATATATATATATATATATATATATATATATATATATTTATATATATATATATATATATATGTATATATATATATATATATATATATATATATATATATATAATATATATATATATATATATATATATATATATATATATATATATATATATATATATATATATATATATATATGTATATGTATATATGTATATATATATATATATATGCAAAAATGTGGTAGTGTATATATATATATATATATGCAAAAATGTGGTAGTGGTGTAGTGGTGGAGAGCGCTCACCTCATAAGTGAGAAGTTCGGATTTCAATCCCCACTATGTCCCTGGTATTACCCCGCTCAAATGGTTTCTCTGTGCAGCGGCCTTGTTTGTCAAGGTTTGTGTTTTGGAGTGTTTTTGGACAGTTAGCAGAAAAGCAATTTTATTTGATTCTGCAATAAAAAGTGATACAAAAAATTGCATTAAATCGCACTCAATCTTTTGTTAATAAGTAACTCACAATGTAACGTCCAGTCATTCACTCTATAAAAATAACAGCATTACAATTATCTAACTAAATATTGTATTTGTAACTAAGCGCACCCAATTTTTTGTCTTATTATTGAAATTTACGGTATTACCGAAATTAATCGAACTATGGTAACATCAGTCATTATCATAGAGTTGAGAGAGGGTTGTAACCTCAACTAAAAGTAGCTTCCTTAACTGTAGTGGCCTTTATGGCTTTAGGGAAGTGAATTATAATAAAAAACTCATATATAAATACATGCCGGATTCTAGTTTAATTAAAAGGGAAAAGTAAATCTTACTACATTTTTTTTTTTACATTTAAAAGAATACTTTTCTAAATTAAAGTGCAATATAAAAAACAATAAAACGAAAAAAAATACTTTTAAAAATAGAAGAACATTAAAAAAATACTCAACTAGAGTAGCGCAAGTAAATGTAATTCATTACAAGGAAAATACTTTCCACCTATATATTTATATATATATATATACATACATATATTCATTTCCACCTATATATATATATATATATATATATATATATATATATATATATATACATACATATATATATACATACATATATTCATTTCCACCTATATATATATATATATATATATATATATATATATATATATATATATATATATATATATAATATATATATATATATATATATATATATATATATATATATATATATATATATATATATATATATATATATATATATATTATATATATATATATATATATATATATATATATATATTATACATTATTATTATTATTATTATTATTATTATTATTATTATTATTATTATTATTATTACTAATATTACTATTATTATTATTACTATTATTATAATTTTTTACTCTTATTATCATCATTATTTTTATTATTACTATAACTATTAACTTTCTGAATTTATAAAAAAATTAGACAAACTAAACATGACAAAAGAAAATACAATGAAATTTAGAAGATAAAAAGACTAATATAATAAAGAAGATAAAAGACTAATATAAATTTTAAAAATATTAGCACTACTAATGCTTTTATTTACAATTAATAATACTAATATTAACCTTTAATAATAACAAATAAAAATATCATATAACAATTATGGTTGTGTTTTGTGCAATTGTGTTACATAATGCAAAATAACTTTAAATTAGACCATTTAAAAAATTAGGAACAAATTATATTTTGCAAAAAAAATTTGAAATTTGGATTAACTGGTCAACAATTGCTAATTAGAATGCTTCGATGTATTGTCATAAAAATATCATATAATAATTATAGTTGTGTTTTGTGCAATTGTGTTACATAATGCAACATAACTTTAAATTAGACCATTTAAAAAATTAGGAACAAGTTATATTTTGCAAAAAAAAAAAATTGAAATTTGGATTAACTGGTCAACAACTGCTAATTAGAATGCTTCGATGTATTGTCATCAATACACTTACACAAACAAAATCATTATTTGAATTTCATTATTATTGTTTACTTTTATAAATTGAAAAAACTATACTTATCAATAATTTCGGTATAAAATTTACACTTTTAAGTTCTACGAAGTCATATATTTTTTAAATTTACTAAATTCAAAGAAACTTTTACAGATTACTTAATTTTGTAAAAAATCAAATGCTCCTTTATATTACCATAGTAACTCAAAGCACCGCATAATGGCTGTCATAATTTTTTCGTAATTGAGTTTTAGTGACCGCGTGTATACTGAATTGTTCAACAATAACAACAACAACAACAACAACAACAACAACAACAACAACAACAACAACAACAACAACAACAACAACAACAACAACAACTGCAACAACAATAACAATATGTTTACTCAGGCGAGTACTGGGTCCATTTTCCCAACTGGAAACTAGATATAGATAGGACCCATTTACTATTTACAATATACTTACTAATAGCAATGGTTTTCATGTATGCCTATAATAAAAGCCAGGTTATCTACCCATTTCTAACTTTTAGAAAAATCTATGCAATTAACACGAACCTAAATAATAAACCAAATCTACATTTAATTTAAGTTCTATAAGAATAAATAAATACACAACAATATTAACATAATAACTCTTATTTAAGTGATCTTGATTGCGTAGTATAAATTATAAAATATGAATAGTATGTTATTAAAAATAGTTCAATATAGAGGAAATAATATACAAATAGTTGAAAATAGTTTAATAAAATGTTTAAAAACTAAACTTTCAACATTATTAACATTTCGATACTTTTTTTTACCCATTAAGTCAATGACCTGATCCGGTGTTATGTCTGCCAACAATTCGCTTTAACAGTTCATCAAAAACAATGATTCCAAGTTCTCCTGTGTTAAACACAACTTTTTAACGTGTTTTTATAAGTTTTGAAAACGATCGTTCACATGTTACTTGAGTAAGAGGATTTGTTAAAAAAAAAAATTGAATACTTCAATTAACTAATTATACTTTAAAGAATACATTTTGAATTAGTAAATAACATTTGTTAGGCATAATAAACATAAGTTAAATTTTTTTTTCTTTCACACTTATTATTATCATTTTCATAAGAGTATTCAAAATCTTAATTTTTTTTTGCAAATTGCTTTGGTTTTAGTATACATCATATAAATCTCTAATACCAGTTTTGGATATTTGAGGCCAGAATTTCACCAACGATAATAATTGTTTTCCTAGCTTATGTTTATCAGTATGAGGTAAAAGTTCACAAATTTTATAAATAGCTTCAGAATGAATTCCATTTTTTGCAATTTCTTTAAATCTCCTTGATCAAACTATTCAAGATCACAATTAAGTTCTTGACTGTCCAAAATATATATTGTAAGTAAGCAATATTATTATCCGTAACTACGTTAAATGTTTTGATTTTACAAATATTTTCGGGAGTATCTCCTATGTTTTGGTTAGTACTTGAATTTTCTCCATAAAGTTTTCGAATAGATTTTCTTCTTTTTTCGGGAAGTCTTGAATTCTTTATCGATGTCTGACTCGTTTTCCTAAATTACACTGGATACAAATTCAATGAATATTTTTGCTCCTGTGCTGACTGGTAAAAAATCTCTTTGGTTTTCTTTTAAATACTTTATTTTTTATCAATTTTTCTTTATGCATGAATAAAATATACCAGATGTTTGTAGGTAATCAGATAGAGTAGTAGAAAACTTTAATATTGGCAAAAACATCATTGCTATTATTACTATTTCATAACGGGTAAGTTGACCTAGTAATTTTTGAGCTGTACTTCTTACGTTGTTTGAAAAATCATTAGCAACAAAAATTTCATAAAGTACAAATACAATTTGCTCATATACAAGTTCCTTTCTGTCATCATTTTTGTTTCTTTGATTCCACATATCGCTACGACCACTTAATTTAATAACCGCATCATTTTCAGACCGTCATCAAGTTTTACTTATATTTATCAAATTCTGATTTTCATAAACATTGAGTCTTTTATAAGATTCTTTGAAAAAAATATTTCTTGAAGCAGTCCAAAAAAAGAAATAACTGTAACTGAACAAAAATTGTTTGTTGTAAGACTAGATTTAACACGTGAGCGTAATACCAAGTAAGAATATGCCTTCGAAAAACTTTCTTGAGTTTTGCTTAATCTCCTTTATATTGGCTATTCATATTGGCAGCACCATCAAAACGATCTAGTACACAACTATGTAAGCTAATGTTCTTAATATTTAAAGTTAATTTTAATTGATCAAATAAATCCTGCCCTGAAGATGAAATCACGTTGTTTAAAGTCTCAACTCGTTCCACAACTTCAACTATAAACCTGGTGCCTTTACTAATATACTGCAAAATAAATACACATTAATCATTGGTAGATATGTTCGTAGTTATATCCATAGTAATTGAATAAATACCAGGTGAATTTACTTCTTCAGATATTTTTAATAACAATAGTTTACAGTTAGTTTGAATAATGTTTGTTACAGTTATAGCACTTAAAAATGTAAACAAATTTTTATCGATATCTCATTATTCCAATAGTAGGCCACTTTTACATTGGCTTTACTGTGTACTAATTTCAAAGTCCTGTCTTAATATTATTATTTGATTATATTTAAGTATATAACATTAATAAGGTTCACCGCACTAAAATAATTTTAACACAATAAACTTCAATTTATTCAAATTATTACTTTAATAGTTTGTATTACCAAAAAAATGTAATAATCAAAAAATTAAAAAAAAAGCGATTATGAAATGAAATTACTGAATTTAACTGAAACTACAGGTACCTATTTGGTATGGGGCCCATGTTTTATAATTTTTAAGAGGACTTACCTGGATTTTTTCGGTATGCTGGTGTACCAGTACGCGCCTGTATTTACCACAAATATCTATATATATGTTGCACAGTGGGCCAGAATTGTCTAAAAATGGCAAAACTGTTTATGGGTTAAATATAGACATATAATACATGTTTATAAAGGTTTTCGTAGCCTAGGATTTCATTTTTTGGCTCCATTTTTATTATGTGGTTATTTTAGGGGTTGTCAAGGGTGATCTAGGGCTTTCTAAATCAGATGGAAAATGTTGTATATCTAAATATAGGTAACTGCTTTCAGGGAATTCAAATCTGGACATACTCGGTCTTTAAAAGTGGTCATGACCGCTCAAATTGCCATTTTAGTGGTTGTCAAGGGTGGTATGAATGTTTTTCAATTAGATCGTGCATGTTGTATGTCTAGATTTAGGTAATTGATATCTGGAAATTAAAATCTGGCTATATTTGGTCTCCAGGAGTGGTTATACTTGTGCAGTTAGGTGTGATCATGGTTTGACCACACCTACCTGCAAATCAAGATTTCGTGATTATTATTTATTTTATGTACCTAATTTCTTTTATATTGTAAATATAAACAAATAATGTTCAACAAAGTTAAACTTTAATAACATAATTTTTTGTATTTACATCATACCTCCTCAGGTTATCTCAAAAACAAAATTAAAATAGCTAAATGATGCATTTCAAAAAGCTCTAAAAGTTACAATCTAATTTAGATTGTAACTTTTTTTAAAAGTTACAATCTAAATTAGATTGTAACTTTAAAAAAAAAAATGCCCGTAGGGATACGTGAAAAATTATAAATTAATCAAATGTTTTTGATAAAACAGAAATTAGTAAAACAGAAATTAGTAACACTCAAAAAAACTTTAATTCTAAAAAATTAATAAAACAGAAATTAGTAACACTAAAAACAGTAAAAAAAACTTTAATTCTAAAAAATTAATAAAACAGAAATTAGTAACACTAAAAACAGTAAAAAAAACTTTAATTCTAAAAAATTAATAAAACAGAAATTAGTAACACTAAAAACAGTAAAAAATCTTTAATTCTAAAAAGTTAATAAAACAGAAATTAGTAACACTAAAAACAGTAAAAAAAAATTTAATTCTAAAAAATTAATAAAACAGAAATTAGTAATCTCATATTATTATTACCAGTCATATTATTTACATGAGTAAAATTTGTAAATCTCCGCGGAGCTCTTTAAACTGCAGACCCCCCTGCCTAGCGGGGTTATGCTCTCCCTAGTTACGCCACTGACATACGTCGGCGAACTCTCGTATCTAAACAAGGAGGCGTGAACTGGTTAAATGCACTTCCGCGGTGCTCTGTGACAAGACCGTCTTCTTGGAGCACCTAAATAACAATTAAAAAAAAATAAAATCAACGTTTAAATTCAAACGTTTTTTTTTAAACGTTGAATTAACGTTGAAATAAAGTTGAAATTTAGATCGTAATTTTTCAACCATATATCAACCATTTCTCAACGTTGAAATAACGTTATGTGCTTGCTGGGATATATCAATATATATATATATATATATATATATATATATATATATATATATATATATATATATATATATATATATATATATATATATATATATATATATATATATATATATATATATATATATATATATATATCAATTATATATTCTGGAAAAAATTCCCACGGTCGTGTTAAAATAGTTATAATAACTAATATAAAGTAAAAACCTTTTTGATGATATATAGTTATAAAAATAATATAGTTATAATAATAATAAAAACAGCAATATATTAAGAATAGCATAATAATAAAAATAATTAATTGTATAATAACAATAATAATAATAATGATAATAATAACACTAAAATAATTATGAAAATTTAAATAAATCGGTATTACTTTCTATGCAGCAATCATTTTTAAACACAAAGTTGCAGTTACAAACAGTAATAAACTGACAAAACGTAACAACTAACGATGATATATAAACGATCACTGCTAAAAAAATTATAAAGATTTAGTAAATATATTTATATAATCATTGTTGTTAAAATATAATTATTAAAATATATTGTTGTTAAAATATAATTATCAAAATATATTGCAAATATTATGACCAAATAAATAAATAAAATATAAACAGAAAAACAATGAGAAAATGAAAACAAAACAAGTTACAACAAACGTTACGAACAAAACAAAAAGTTATCCAAAAAAACTAACAAAGCATACAACAGCAACAACAAAAAACTTGAGATTAAAAAATAATAATAATAATACACGGTAGAATAAAACATATATAATAAATGGCTAAAATGAAAATAAAAAACAATTATATATTACTGTATAAAAAATTTATATACCACTAAAAATAAATAATAATTAAAAAAAAAACGAATGACTAACAAAAAAAATAAGTAAAACTACATACGTTATATAAAAAATTGAAGAAAAATAAATAAATAATGAAATAAATCCTAAGAAATATATGAAAGAAAACAAAAGAAATTATGAAAAAATAAATAAAAATCTTGATTTGCCGATTGAGATTCCATCTTTAAATAGTTTTTTTTTTTTTGTTTCTTTGCCATTCTTTTTATATATTTCATTCATTAACGTTTCTATTTTTAACTTCTATTTTCATTACTTCTTTACTTATTTTCTTTAAGATATTTCGTATTCTTTTCTTCTTTAAGATATATTTATAAATAAAGATTTATTTATTCTATATTTACATATTTATTATTTTATATATATAAAGATATATTTATTCTTATTTTTTGTTGATTTCATTTTTAGTTTAATTTATAATTGTTTTCTTTTTTCCTTTTAAAAAGTTACTTTTAACTGTTTGAAAAAAGTGTCCACCATTTACGATGTCATTGCAAACGATATTGAAAGATATTGAAAACGCCTTCATCGTTTTTAATATCATACATGAAGAAATAATATATATATATATATATATATATATATATATATATATATATATATATATATATATATATATATACATATATATATATATATATATATATATATATATATATATATATATATATATATATATATATATATATATATATATATAAATATATATATATATATATACATATATATATATATATATATATATACATATATATATATATATATATATATATATATATACATATATATATATATATATACATATATATATATATATATATATATATATATATATATATATATATATATATATATATATATATATATATATATATATATATATATATATATATATATATATATATATATATATATATATATATATATATATATATATATATATATAACTTTTGAACCAATCAATAAGGAGAGATCTCATTTAGCTGCTCGTTTTAAAATGAAGTCTGAAAAATGAAGTAAATAGTAATTTTATATTTCTTTAATCTAAATATTAAAAAGAGTGTAGTTTTTGTTTAAATAATCCATAAAAAACTAGGCTGATTCATTTTATCATATGAAAATTAAAATCACCCCATTTCAGAAAACAACTGTGTTTCTTGCTGCTCACTAAATTTGATGCATACTTTAATAATTTGACCATATTTTCACAATTAAACAAACTACTATGTGCAGTACGGTAAATACAGCTACTTTCACATAAAATACAAATAAGATACTTTCAATATCACATTCTATTACACACAATATTGCTTCAATACCATCATTTGCATTTAAATTTTCAAAAATTGTTTTATGACTTTAAATTGTTGGTAACATAAATACAAACACCGCTACCCTTACTTTGTTTTACCATCTTTTCTATAAAGTGTAAATAATAATGTAAAATAAGTGTTCTATAAACTATAACTATGTTAGTCAATAAGGCATCTGTACACCATGTCTCACATACCATCATAACTTGTAGCTTTTTGTTTTTAATTATCTTTTATAAATATCTTTATAATTGTTGTTTAACGATGTTGGATTGTTGTACCAACAATTCTCTTTTTAATTTTATTAAAAAGATATAAGAAAAAAAAAAAAAAAGAAACATTCTTTATAGTAATAATGAAAAAGCTGTTAAATAACATTTAACTCGTTTTGCAGTAATTTATATTATGCAGTAATTTAAAAAAAGTAAATAAAAATATAATATAAATAAAATATAATAAAAAAATAAAGATAATTTTATGACGTCAAATACCGTATTAAGGTGGTACAACACCAAATGCTAATGCTAATGCATTAAGCATTTTTTATTTAAAACAAAAATGTTAGATAGGGTCATCACTGGTTTTTTATTTTTTTTCGTTCTCGCTTTGACATTTCTGAGTTTTTTGTACAAAATCTTTTAATTTTTAGTTGTTTTTTTAATAATTTTAGTTTTTTGAGTTGCATATTTTAACAACTCTGTACGCTCTGATACCATAACGAAAGGGCTTATTCAAAGTTTCTATTTTTGTTTCATCTTGATTTTGTGCATTTCTTTGATTATTTAAATTGGATTATTTAAATTTTCTATGGATTATTTAAATTTTCAAAAATTGTTTTATGACTTTAAATTGTTGGTAACATAAATACAAACACCGCTACCCTTACTTTGTTTTACCATCTTTTCTATAAAGTGTAAATAATAATGTAAAATAAGTGTTCTATAAACTATAACTATGTTAGTCAATAAGGCATCTGTACACCATGTCTCACATACCATCATAACTTGTAGCTTTTTGTTTTTAATTATCTTTTATAAATATCTTTATAATTGTTGTTTAACGATGTTGGATTGTTGTACCAACAATTCTCTTTTTAATTTTATTAAAAAGATATAAGAAAAAAAAAAAAAAAGAAACATTCTTTATAGTAATAATGAAAAAGCTGTTAAATAACATTTAACTCGTTTTGCAGTAATTTATATTATGCAGTAATTTAAAAAAAGTAAATAAAAATATAATATAAATAAAATATAATAAAAAAATAAAGATAATTTTATGACGTCAAATACCGTATTAAGGTGGTACAACACCAAATGCTAATGCTAATGCATTAAGCATTTTTTATTTAAAACAAAAATGTTAGATAGGGTCATCACTGGTTTTTTATTTTTTTTCGTTCTCGCTTTGACATTTCTGAGTTTTTTGTACAAAATCTTTTAATTTTTAGTTGTTTTTTTAATAATTTTAGTTTTTTGAGTTGCATATTTTAACAACTCTGTACGCTCTGATACCATAACGAAAGGGCTTATTCAAAGTTTCTATTTTTGTTTCATCTTGATTTTGTGCATTTCTTTGAATAATAAGTACTTTTTTTAAAGCTTAATTTTGATAAGGTACAATAAAAACATTTTTAAAAGTATCGCTATCTCTCAATCGGGTTCTTGCTGCACGTAAAACTTATATTGGTGCATCATTATTTTTAAACTGGGCTAGGTTTACTTGCGTTTACAATACACCTTTTCACACTTCCGATAAATTTTGCGCGCGCAGAAATGGAAGTAAAAACGTAAACAAACGTTATTGTAACAGTAATTTGTTCGAGATTTACTAAGCAAAAATAACATTTATCACACAATATTATTGAACCAGTGCCATTAGTCTTATATAATTATTAAAAAAATAGCGTTAATTTATTTAAGCTATTAAAAATTAAAAAAATAGCCTTAAGCTAAATTTATGCATATATATATATATATATATATATATATATATATATATATATATATATATATATATATATATATATATATATATATATATATATATATATATACAGTGCCGGCCCTAGCCTTTTTGCCGCCTTAAGCTAAATTTATGCATATATATATATATATATATATATATATATATATATATATATATATATATATATATATATATATATATATATATATATATATATATATATATATATATATATATATATATATATATATATATATATATATACAGTGCCGGCCCTAGCCTTTTTGCCGCCCTCGTGCGAAATTTGTCCTGCCGCCCCTGAAAATTTTATAAACGTGCTGGCAAATTACATGGAAAATAATGACAAATCGAATTCAAAAATAATACTTTGCAATAAAACGCTACATACAAAGAAACATTTTTTGTTTATGTTTTACACAAAATACATTTAATTTTTTAAATTAATCTTACGAACCTTCTTATCACCAAAATCTTTGATTAGGGATGAAAAATCAAGATTTTCAGCAATATTCTTTTCAATCGATAGGGTTCCTAAACTTGAAAGTCTATCCTGCGACATTGTTGACCGCAGATAGGTTTTTATTAGTTTCATTTTGGAAAAGCTTCTTTCTCCACTCGCTACAGTGACAGGTATTGTTAGCGAAATTCGCATTGCAATCCATGTGTTTGGATACAAATCTTGCATTTTGTGCTGTTTTATAAAGTTTAAAACAATAATAGGAGTAATTTTATCCTTGACCATTTCAGAAAGAAAAGGTTTAATGCTCATCAGTTTATCGCAAAGGAGAATACCATTAATGTCCGATTTAAGTTTACTTTAAAGAGCTAAACATGATTTTAGAATTTCTTCTCTTTTTTGCAAACCATCGACATTATACAAAAAACCCCAAACTTCGGAATAATTCTCCAACTGAATAAATCTTTCTCTCATTGAAATTAAAGATGTGTCTAAAAGAGGATTGAAGAAATCGATTTCTAATTTTTTTTCAGGAGAAAATAAATAAATCCCATCATGGGCTGGTTCGTCAAAATGGCGTTTCACTCGTATTATTCTTTTAAGTGGATTAAAAACAGGCTCCACTTGTAATTCTATAGCCAAATCCTTTGCTTTTATAATTGCATCTTTAAAACCACATTTTCTATAGTTTTCTAAAAATGAACAACAGCTTTTCAATAACTTTGCACATTGAGTGATGTCCATGTCTTTTTCTTGAAGAGTTTTACTAACAATATTGACTTGAAAAAGAACGTCATAACAGACAATTATGGAGACAAGAAAGCTAAAATCTTTTAATTGCTCTCCTAGAGTTATCGCTTCATGTGCAGTTTCAGGATTACATCCTTCAATTTCTGACAATGCTATCAAAGCGTCATGCACATCACCAACTTGATAACGAACGGCTTTAACACTACTTATTTTTGCTTCCCACCGCGTGTCACAGAGTTTCTTTAAATGCAAAATTTTAACATGATCAATTAAAATTTTCCATCGGCTCACTGAAGCTGAGAATAGAGTATACAATCTCTGAAGAATACCGAAAAAAGCTATAGATTTTACTGACCGTGCAGAGTCACTTATTACCAAATTTAAGCTATGGTTGCCGCAAGGAACATATAATGCTAAAGGATTAAGGTTTAAAATCCTTTTTTGTACACCATTATTCTTTCCTTTCATATTTGATCCATTATCATACCCTTGACCTCTGCAGTTAGAGATTTCAAGTCCATGCTTAGTTAGCAACTCGATTAAAACCTCACTAAGTCCTAAGCCTGTAGAATCAGAAACAGAAAAGAATCCTAAAACGTACTCTTTAATTTCCACTCTAATGTCTAATGACAAGTCAACAATTCGAATAGTAAGAGAAAGTTGTTCTTTTCTAGAAATATCAGGTGTACAATCAGCAATGATTGAATAGTAAACGGCTTTCAAGACTCGGTTTATTATTTCATCATTAACCTTTTGAGACATTAAATCTATTAACTCATTTTGAATATTTTTCCCGCAATAATGGTCTGAAGTGTCACCTTTTATTGCAAGTGCTAAATGCTTTTGCATCACAGGATGAAATTTTGCAAGCATCTGTATTAGTCCTAAGAATTTGCCGTTTTAAGGCGTAAACAGTTTATCCGAACTCCCTCGAAAAGCCATATTATTTTCAGCTAGGTAAAGAGTGATATTCATCAGCCGAAGAAGAACATTTTGCCATCGCAAACTGTCTTTTTCTATAATTTTAATTTCTTCATTATCTATAGTTTTTCCAGTTTTTAATCTTATTTCAGTTTCTACCCACTGTTGATAACATTTCATATGAGAGACGCTGTTTTCATGAATTCCCAATGTTTCAGTTAAATGTCTCCATTTCTTGAAACCATCAGAGACTAAGTTTGACTTTAAATTATTATCAAAAAGTAGACAGCAAAAACAAAAACAAATTATCTACTTCAATTGCAATGAAGTTATACAACTATTTTTGAGTATTGTTGAAGGTTCTCCAATTTTATTGGACATAGTTGTAGAGATAGTTGAAGCATCAGGGTTAAAATCTTCACGACCTTCGTCAGGTTTTTTATAAGCAACATATTTTTCAATGCTCATGAAGTTTTTAATCTTTTCAAATTTTTGATCTTTAACGGACTTTCTTTTTCTGTACTCATATCCAGACAACTTTTTTCTCGAATTTGAAATTTTATGTGACATGAGACAGAATATTTTTTAAGATAAAATTATTTCTACAATTTAAAAAAAAAAAAATTTAAAAAGTTCTCAAAACACATTTATAAAATTATTAAAGAAATAAAAAAAAAGTAACTAAACTTACTGAAAATTGTTTAAATCGAGTCAACTTAACATTTAATAACAAAAAATAAAAACTTTTGAACTTCTTTATAAAAATTTTATATATATATATATATATATATATATATATATATATATATATATATATATATATATATATATATATATATATATATATATATATATATGTATATATATATATATATATATATATATATATATATATATATATATATATATATATATATATATATATATATATATATATATATATATATATATATATATATATATATATATATATATAGGGGCGTGTCTAGGGGATGTCTGCTACGTTGTTGGACGTACCCAAAAAAAATAAAATTAAAATTTTTAAACTTGATTATTTTGTTGAAAAAAATCTTAATGTTACATTAAAACTAGGGATGTACCGAAGCTGAAATTTTGCCGAAGCCGAAGCTCCGGCCGAAGCCACTTTGCCGAAGTTTCGGCACTATATATGCCTAAAATTTAATCAGCATTCAGATCAGCAGGGGTGTAAAACAAAAAAGGTACCAAAACTAAGGTCCTTGACTAATAATATAGAAAAATTGTATAAAAATGAGGACGCCAGTCAGGGTTGCTGTTCCAGGCAGGGCAAAAGCTCTCAGCGCCCCTGTTTAAAAGTTTCTCATTATGTCGTTTCTGATACTTGACTGCATCGAGCGTTTTTTTTTTAAACTTAAGCTTTTTTGAAACATTCTCCCCAAATTTTCCTACTTCTAGTTCTACTTTTTCTGTGTGCAAACCATATTAATGTTATATAGCATTTTTTCATGTGCTGTATATTTTATTTTTATTTTTAATGCACCTTTTGTTAATAGAAGTGGATAAAAATGGACATTACTAGAGTAAATTTATCTTTTGCACTTGATCACTCTTTCTTTAAATAAACACTCTTAGCTGATCTAGTTGTATCTACAACATAAAAAATCTTAGAAACACACTTTATCTTTTTATTACTATTTATTTCAATATCTTTTTTTTATTTCTCTGTATTCTTTAAACGAACAATTTCTAAACTAAAAAAAACCCAAGTTATAACCATTTTGGATTCCTGAACCTGCTGCTAAAAAAAAGTACAAATGATAGATTTCTCTCTAACTTCTTTTTTACACACTTTTAAGTATTTTTTTTTTGATTATTTTTAACTTAACACTACATAACATTTTCTATAGCTTTTTTTAATCTTTTATACTTTGAAATCTTAGTATTCATTCTTCTTCTGTCTCTATAATGGATAAATCTGCATCAGTATCTGAAATCAAATATTAACTATCTGTGATAAAAACTTCCAAAGTAATCTAACAACTCTGTAGAGTGAGCTTTAAATAAAATAATAAATAGAATACTTTATAAATCTTTTATTTATAATTATATTATTATTTACTTTATATTTATAAATAAACAGGGACTGAGCAGGCTGATATTTATTTGATTTAAACTGTTTATTTAATTTAAATAAATTTTGATGATAAATATAAGAGCTCAAAGTAATCAAAGCTTCAACCTTTAATTTATTTTAAATAAAATTTAAAAGTCTTCATAATATCATAAGAAGAAACCAGAATATAGATTTACATGTTTAATATATAAATTCAATTTAGAAGTATTCATAATATTAATAAAAGAGCAAGGGTAGTTATTATCATTGTTTTTCTTTTTCTTTTAATTTATCTTGTTTTTGTTGGCTTTTTTTTTATTTTTTTTTATTATCCTCGTTTATATTTCATTTGCTTTTCTTCCTTTTTTGTTGTTGAGAACTTTTTGTTTTTTATGTGTCACTCCATTGACTATTTTGCATCTATATAAGTGACACCTAACCAATATCTGTAAATTTACGATGAAAATTTGTTAATTTTTATTAATATGGTTAAATAAAATTTTAAAAAATTAAACATACACACAATTTAAAATAGTAGCAACGTATCTTTAATCTTCTTTAAAGAGAGATTACTAAGGTTTATCGGTCAAATGTTGAAACCAAATTTTGTTCTATTTGCGGTAATCCCACACAATAATTAATATGAATTTGTTACATAATACAAATTAAGGTTTTAAAAACTTTTAATTTGTTTTAAATTATAAGGTTTTTATTCTGCATAGAAATGCTGCTTCAGTTCATCTAAAGTCACACTTGGAAGCTTTCAAAGTGTATGAGGACCTTCCCCAATTTTATTATTTTTTTCAAAATATTTTTACTTATTTATTATTATCCCCTCCATAACAAGACACTTGGGAGTAAATAATACTAAGTATATGGTATAGACTCCAACTTTAACTCTGTAGTCCTAAATTTATAACTTTATTAGACACTGGGAATTAGCTTATTTTTATAACTTTAATTACTTAAAATTTTTTGCCGAAGCCAAAGATTCGGCAAAAAATTGACCTGGCTTCGGCCGAACCGAAGCTTCGGCAAAATTGCCGAAGCTTCGGCGCGCCGAAGCCAAAGCTTCAGTACATCCCTAATTAAAACCAAACTTACTTAATGTAGTTACATGTTAAAACCAAACTTACTTAATGTACTGACTTAATGTAGTTACATTAAAACCAAACTTACTTATTGTAGTTACATGTTAAAACCAAACTTACTTAATGTAGTTACATGTTGAAACCAAACTTAGTTAATGTAGTTACTTAATGTAGTTACATTAAAACCAAACTACACCAAAAACTAAACAAATTATGCACGGGTTATTTTCATTATCTGAAACGGTTTAAAAAATATAAAACCGGAAAACATAATTGTATATCGGTTTCATAATTTAGCGATTGTTAAAAAATAATTACAATACTTTGATGGAGGTTAATACTTTGATGGAGGTTAAGGTTATACCTTATTTTATTTTGTTATATAGAACTTTATTTTTTAAATTTTTTCTGTCATTGGTTTAAAAAAAAATCAAAATGATTATTTTAGTTAGGACCAAATTTGGACTTTCCTTTTGACATACACCCTGAGTAGAGTTTTTATCAAGTTTTATCGTTTAACTATCACTAGGAGGTAAAATTAGATAGTAACAACAAGTATATATTAAAATATATCAATGGACATCCCCAGTTTTATTACATTAGACTGTGTATCATTTTAATAACTTGCATTTTAAGTAATAAATAAAGAGAGAAAAAGTTTCAAATACGGAAAATAAAATTCGGACTTCCCTAAATCCATACATCCTGCCTAACTTGTGTTTTATTAAATTAATTTATTTTATAAAACATAACATGGCCGATGATTAGTTCAAAATGTCGTTTAATTCACAATTTTATATCGCACTATATAGTATGCTAAAGAAAAGCATAATTTCCTTTAAAGTCAGGCGACCAAATATTATATAAATTGTGCAGAATTTTTGATATCATGTTATCCTTTGGATACAAGAAAGGAAGACAGAGAGTTATTACAAGTAGAAGCTGTTTATAGTTTATAGTTTATAGTTGCATCGATAAAAACTAGTATTTGATTCTTGGTTTTCATTGATATTCAAGAAAAAGATTTTAGACGTATAATTAGACGTATATTTAGAAGTATTTTAGACGTATATTTAGAAGTATAAATTTTAATTAGCCTTTATGAGAATCATGATAATCGTAATAGGAACTATGATGAGCCACATAAACTTTATGTAGTTTATCAGATTCTCATAAAGTACTAAATAAACAAGTTTTTCCTTTATGATAAAGAAAAACTTGTTTATTTAGTATTTTAGTAAAAGCTATTATTGATTATTATAAATTGATTTTTTTAAATTAAACTAATTTAAAAAAATCAATTTATAACACATAAAAATGTGTCATAAATTGATTTTTTTAAATTAGTTTAATTATGAGTTTAGTTCAAAAACTAAAAGATTCCACTATATTTCATGGTTGTTTTAATATTTTCCCATTAATAGGTATATATAAAAGCAGAAAAAATAATAATTATTTGCCCCAATTTGCCCCACTTATTTTAAGTGGGGCAAGTTGGGGCAAATAATTTTTATTTTTTCTGCAAGTTGGGGCAAATAAGACCTATTAAAAACTTCGTTTTTTTTGTATTTTTTTTTTCCTCTTTTTAATTAAAACTTACGCATTAAGTAGCGAACAATAGTTCATTGCTTGCATTCATCACACAAATAATACATTTAGTTCCTATTCGTTAAAAAACTCATGCTCAAGCAGATGGTGCTAATTCCAACCTCAAAAACCAAAATAAGCAACATTTAATGGCATAATACATGTTTTAAAGTTAAAACTTGCGTATAAAATAAATAACAGTAGTTCATTGCTTACATTCAACAAGCAAAGAATACATTTTGTTCCTATAATTCAAGAGTTAGAAATTAACCATGATAATTTACTCGAGGCTCTTCTACGTGAGTTTTGTAGACTGTTGGGTCTATACTATGAAAGTATTGACAATCCTAAAATGATAAATCTAAAGAAAACACTTATAAAATTTAAATGTTAATTTCGACCAGAGTTGCGGAAACATTAAAGAATCTTCTCTAGACCTTTGCAGCAGGTCTTGGTAGAAAGTGCAAGAACTGGGAAGACTTAGGTGATCGAAGCAGAGGATCTGAGGTAGTTATTAATCAATTGAATTTAACCCATTTTAAAAAAAAGTTTACAAGCTTAAATATTAAGTATTATCTTGTTTAAGGCTGCCAAATCGGCTGAACATCCTGTTAAAGGATTGGCATTAGCCTCAATAAAAAAAGCAACTAGATATCCTAACAAAAAAGACTTTGTTGTTTTCATGAAAAGTGCTACATCCTCTGAAAAAGTTAAAATCACGGAGAAAAGTTTTCCGATAAAAATGAAAACCGAAGATGCCTTGAGCTTGAAATTTCAGTGTGACATTTCTGATAAACAGTATCAAATTTTTAAAAACTCATCAATAATACATAATGCAGGTATGTATTCTTCATTTCATGAAATTAAGAATAAGAGACATGAATGTTATCCTGAGGCTTTAATTGTATGTTTAATCGTATGTTTAATTGTACTCTGACAAAGATATTAACTTTTACGGAATGTCAAGACTCTAGGAGAATGTTTGCTGAAATTGGGGGAGGTTTAAAGGTCTACTTCACTTTAAAGGTGGTTTTGATGGTGCCTCCAGTCAAAGTGTCTATAAACAAAACCATACTGATACAAATACTGGTGAGGCCCAAGTTAACGAGCAAAGTCTTTTCCAGACAGCTATTGTTCCACTTAAACTACCCATCATGAACAAAAATGTATGGTTAAATTAGAAGCCCTCAAGTACACATTATTGCAGACCCTTAAAGCTCCAATATTAAAAAGAAACGAAAGAACTGATAAGAAATGAGTATGAACTTTTAAAAGCAGAAATGAATAGACTAGTCAAGTTTGAAGTAAAGTTAGAAGTAGAGGAAGGCAAACCGGATACGACTATCACATTTAAGTTCAAACTAGATTTGACTATGTTTGATGGTAAAGTGGTTAATGCCCCTCCTAACATTTTGTCCTCCCAATCATGTAATGTTTGCGGAGTTAAGCCCAGTGAAATCAAAAACCCAGTACTGATCAGATCTAAACCAATCGATGAAAAGCTTTATCTTTGTGCCTTTCTACTCTGCATTACTGGCTTAAATCTTTTGAATACATCTTACGTTTAGGATATAAGTTAGACATTAAAAAATACTTTTCCAAATCTCCTGCTGAAAAAGCATCAGTAAAAAGTAGAAAAAACAACATTCAACTGAGGTTTAGAGAGGATCTAAGTCTTGATATGCCTAAACAGGGTTTTTATGAGTAGAACTCTAAAAGTTTTGGCCAGTATTTCTATGAAACTACAGCTATTATACTCAAAAACAATTGCTGTTATGTGATTCCCCAAACTGTTCATAAACTCTTGGAACATGGTGTGCAGATATCTGACTCATTAGAACTGCCAATTGGTTACTACTCTAAAGAGTCACAAGAGGCTCTAATTAAGGAAAGCTAGATTAAACCATACAGCCAAGATATCTAGAAAGAATGTTATGAAAAACTATTCCAATACCTATTGATTTGAAGTGATCCTGTAGTATCAAACATCTGTTTCAAAAAATACAAAGTTTCAAAAAATACAAAATTGCGCGTTGTACGCGTTATAGAAAAGCGTAAAAAATAATTTCAAAAGCAAATTTAAATTTTTTGACCCAAAATACAATAGTATTGATGTATCACATGTTTATATATGATAGTTATATAATTTTTGCTGTTTTTTCACCATTCTGACTCATTGTGCGTCGGCCCTGGTTTTGATCTAAATCTGTAGATTTTTTTAATAACTCTGTTGTTAATTTATTTCATTAATAACGTCGTCAACTTGCTTTTTATCATTATTTTTGCTTTGTTTAATATTACACACACACTCACACACACACACACACACACACACACACACACACACACACATATATATATACAAACCTCCGAATTAAGAAAAATGAGGTTGGCAATTTATTGCCGACCTCAAACTGTTAGATTTGTTACAAAGGGTATACTATAAAACATAGAAACAAGGTCAGCAATATTTTTCCGACCTCAAACACTTTAAGGTCAGCTGTTAGGTCGACCCTAATTCCGTGGGTTGTGTATATATATATATATATATATATATATATATATATATATATATATATATATATATATATATATATATATATATATATATATATATATATATATATATATATATATATTATATGTTATAGCATTTATTGGAGTTTTTCTCATCGGTTAATTACTGAAACATTCAGTGAAAGCCGCTACTAATGGCCAACCAGTAACTTTCCGAAGGTTATTGGTGGCAAGTCATCGAGTAGCCACTTTAGGCGGCTGCCACTAATGGTCCACTAAGTAACCGATGAGCAAAACTACAGTGGACCGCTAAAATGTCTCTATAAGTCCACTGAAATTCATTTATAGCTTGGCAGCAGGCTATTTTAGTAAGATGTCAGAATTGTTTATAATTGATTTGTTGTTAGTGTCTTTTTATAAAAAAAATAACTTAAAAGCGCAAAGAAAAACACAAAATAGTAGGTTTAAATGAATACCACCTAAAATCGGTTGAAAATTAATTTATCTCAAATTAGTTGAAAATGAAAATCTATAAAATTGATTAAAAAATAATTGGTCAAAAATGAAAACATCATGAATTGGTTGCAAATAAAAAATACTATATTGGGTTGAAAACAATTTAGGTCTCAGTAAGACATCTGAAAATTAGTTTCACTTTTTAGTAGATGTTCTATTTGTAGAACAAATTAATAGGTCGAGATTTTTGTAGATCTAACTATCTGACACGCAAAGAAACATCAATTTTTCATATCATTTCTAATAATATGGCTAGTAACTCTGTATATATATTTACGTTCTTATTTATATACAAACGTAACAATATATATGCATTCGATTAGTATTGACTAAAATCATCTAACAATTCCAGGTGTTTCTGATAACACAGGTCAACAAAAAAATTTTTTGTTTCATGGAGCCGAGCAAATAATTTGTTTTTTGCATAGCATTTCTTATTTGGATTTCAAATATGGCACTCATTTTTCACCATCGCGTTAAGTTATATAGATATTAGGATTCAAATCCTTAGCATTTGGGGTAAAATCCCTAATATTGTCAAAAAAAATAAATTTTTTTTCAAAAGGTATGTCCACCTGGGTCTTAATAGAAGTGTATTTTCATAGAGATTGAAAACATACTATAACTTTGTAATAAAAAAAAAGTATTTTATTAAGAGCCTTTAGCACTTTTTTACATAATTTTTTTGTCAATGAATTTAAAGGAAAAATATTTATGCTTTCTAAAATCTCTATGAAAATTCTTTTGAGACACAGATTGATATACTTTTGTATGATTTTTTTCCTTTTGACAATACTAGGGATTTTAACCCAAGTACTAAAGATTTGATCCTAAATATCTTCACAACTTGACGTGATGGTGAAAAAGTTGCATATTTGAAATCAAATGAGCAACTTTATTCCTTTTGCAATGTTTTCTTTTTATTTTGCTTCCACTTTCTCCAAAAGTTGCTTAACTGAAAAGTTGTAAAATATAGTTAAAAGGTTCAGTATGTTACCATTTGGGTGAGTCTGTTCGCACGCACGAGGCACGAGTGAATAGACTATATCTTATTATAAAAACGTGCGAATAGACACTCCGTACCATTTAATAATATAGAAATATCAAGATTCTCACAATAATGATTAGCAGAAATAAACTGGTTTTCTAACTATTCAAATTAAATTCATCGCGCATTGCAACGTTAATTAAAGAGTGCAAGGTCAGTTACGGAGAAGAGTGCTAGGTCAATTACGGAGTAGAGTAGTCTTTTTACACTTTCTCGCAGACTGAAAAAAAATTAAGTTAAAAATATATTTTTTTAAAATTATAATCTAGTTATTTATAAAAAGACTGAAACACTCTTTTTATAAATATCTAGATGTTTATAAAAAGTAATAATAGATATTTATAAAATATTTATAAATATAATTATAAGATATAAAAAATATTTTCAACTTAATTTTTTATAGTATTAAAAATAAAAACTCAGATATCTGAGTATAAATACCTAAATACAACCTTCCAATCGACTTAATAACTATCAGGATAAAATATAAAAATTTTTTAAAATAGTTTTTATTAATCTGATTAGAAAAATTTATTTACATTTAAATCAATAAAAAGTGTACAACTAAATTAAAATTTTTATACTATGTACAAATATAAAATACGTCCAAATCAATAAAACGTGCCCACAATTTATTGAAAATATTTACATAATGTACAAATCCCATTTTAATCAATGAGCACGAGTACAATTTATTGAAAATTTGATTGAATTTAAAAATGTATAAAAATTTATTTTAGGGATCGTCGATAAATTACGCAACGCAAAATATTTTTTTAAAAACAGAAGTAGGAGATATTAAACTCTTTTTCACGGCGATTTTCGTTAAACTTAATAGGCTATTTTTTTTATTAATTTAAATTAAGGGAAAACTTTTGATCTTTTGTATTGTTTATTATGAAATTTTGCTTTACGTAATTTATGGACGATCCCTTACAATAGTAGGCTTCGGCTTTAGCTCTCACCCACACTCCCCTAAAACTGTTAATCACTTTTCTCACGAAAATATATTTATCATTGAAACTAAAATAAAAAACACAATATCATTTAAAAAAAAAATTAATTGCATAATATACTGCAATGCTTTTTAAAAAGCACGATTGTTGCAAAAAAAAAAAAATTAAAATTAAAAAAGGGCGCAGCTGTTCTCCGTTCTCGTGCTACTTTATTTAAGCCGAGGCCTGCAATAGTATAGGAAAGTATAGGTAATTGGTATAAAAAACTTTCAATATTTACATTACAAAAGTATAGGTAATTGATATAAAAACTTTAGCGTTATAAAAACATATACAAACATAAAAGATACATACAAAACATTAGATAAAAACATATTCACGCATAAAAGATACATACAAAACATAGGCACATATAAATGATACTTACAAAACATTAGGCAATTATAGCATTGACATAAAAACTGTCAATACTCACTATTAGTATTTTTTACAGTATAAAACAATTATTACTTGTTTCATATTTTTTATATTTAAAATTGTAAAAGCTATATAAAACTATAGAACTTTAAAAGAGTTAGAAAATATACTTATCTTATAAAACATTATACTTTATTAATATATAATAAATGATATATTGAAAATCGTGTTAAACACGTGGTAAATAATATCTCATAGAGATCCTAAATAATGAGCAGAGAAAAATGTCACTTTGTTTGATATAAACCATTTAGCGTTCATCCATGGAGAGTAAAGTGATAAACGATCACCATTTTTTGCATATATAAGAGTATTAATTGCTCCTGTATCAAAACTAGAACTCCATTTTGTTGATGCTATGACTTCGTTATTTTTACAAAGATGAAAGCTAGTTAACTTCACTGGTTGCCTATAATCTAGCTGCATCTATATATAATATATAAAAATCATGTAATTTATTATTTAAAAGTTTGTTAAAATAACTACTTTTTTAATAACCGCTTTTTTACAGTGTCAAAGATTAGTTAAAAAAAATCATAATAATACTCCTTAATTTTTTATTTAAATCTTTTTTCTATTAACTCAATAACTTTTGGCGCAAAAAATTTAAAATAAAGTTTAAATATTTGGACGTTAAGTATAAAATAAACTACTAAACCTGCAAAAGCATATTCAAATTGCTTCACAATAACGCTGAAAGAAATGCTATTCTGAGTTGCTCTATAAGCACAAACATAATTTAGAGCGCGTCTTGCAAGTAATGAAAATAATTACAGAGAACATGAAAATTAATCCTACCTCTCTGCCACATACAATAAATGTTAAAAAAAAAAAAAAGTCAAATGAATTCTTTTTCAATTTAAACAATAAATAGTGGTTTAGAGTTCTGGCTCAGAAACAAGAAGTTCGATTAAACCTCGGTTTGATGCCGAATCTGGATAGATAAGCTACATTTTTAATGAGCTTCCTAATTGAAATGCTCTTCCACAATGCTCTGTAATTAGACCGTTAAGTTTTCTTGGAGCACCTTTATAACTTATAAAAAAGTGTGACTTATTTTCCAAATCCAATTGATTCATTTTCAGTTAAATTATTCATTATTGTTTCAAACATTAGTTTTACTGAGCTGACTTAAAGTAAACTTGGTTTTTAAATTAGTAAAACTATAATTTAGAGCATCCATCATTCAAGGGTTTTTTATAATACCTACATTTAAGACCGGAAATCATAGTCATATAAACGACCATCAAAATACGTTAATGCTTCCACTTTTCTCAATTTCTTAATTTTTGCCATTAAAAATTTTAAATTCAAAAACAATAGATACAATAACCGTAACCGATTCTATACATATCTTATTGAGTAAGTAACTGAGTATGTCGATTCATGAAAAAAGTTTAGAAGTAAACAATTTAACTGACCATACTATTCTTCAATTTACGTACAACATTTCTAAATGTTTTAAAAACTCTCATTTAACATTAGGAGGGTTTATAGACCTGTCCAACGCAACCAATTAATAAAAAAAATATTTTTTATGATGTTTAAGTCTTTAAGAGGTTCTGGAGGTTGTTTTTAGTTATCAATTTTGCTGAACTTTTTGGTGCAATAAAACTTAGTTCCTTCGCTTTGGAATGTATGTTTGACAAAGCCAAATCTTGTGTTTTAAATTTTTGCATTAATACCATTCACTATTACTGCTCTTTTTAGGACTAGGTTTGCTACTGCTGTTGTTGGTCGCTGCTGTTAAAGTCAATCTTTAAATGTTATTATATCAAAATTAAATATCTGTAAATTTAATATAAAACAAAAATTAAATGTCTGTAAATTTGATATAAAACTATAATTTAAAACTTATTAGAAAATATTTAATAATAATTTTTTATTTGACAGTGCATTTACGGTAAAAAAAATTGAGGATACTTTTTCTTTTTTTTAAATAAATAAATCTCTGGGTTTAGATAGAATATCAGCTAATATAGTAGTCTCAAACAAAAAAAAATATGAGCAAATGTTTTATATTCTTGAACTTTCAATAAAAGAAGTCATGTTTTCTCATATATTAAAAGTAGCTAAAGTTTACCCAATTTATAAAGGCAATGTTAGTTCTGATATCTTAAATTAAGCTTAAGTAACAAGATTTTTGTTCCTGGCTTCAAAATGTTTTATTTCAATTGCTAAAGTATGTGAAAAAATGACTTCAAAAGACACAAACTTTGCTTACATGACAACAGATCATAGAAAACATTTTCTTTCATTTTTTTCATTATAAGTATAAGTTATCTTAATGAAAGCGCTTTGTTCTCCTTGAAGTTGTCGAGATGCGAACCACGGATATGGACTTTCAAAGACGTTCTGCATCCTATTTTAGCGTAGTTCTTTATGAGAGCCTGCACCAAATCCACATAATTTTCAGATTTGTGATTATTTAGGAAAACCTAAACAACTGCAACGAGACTGCTCCAAGCTGCTAACTCTTTCCGGTTCAACAGCTTTGCAAAAACCTCAAATTTTATAATCTTCTTGACTTGCGGTCCAACAAGAGCCCTGACCTCGTACAGGTTTAGAAAAAGATCTTCGAAGTATTGAAATGCTACTAATGTCAATAGAAGTGAAAAATTGCTTAATGAGGACTAACTTGATGTGCAGCGGTGAAATAAGCACTTTATGAGGTTCTATCAGCGGCTCTCACTTCACATTGTTATTCCCAACAGAAATTTGGTCCGTTGTGGCCAGTCCTTTGTGCGATAATGTGCTTTAATGTCACGGCTGTCCCAGAGACAGAGGAAACAAAGAAGTTTTGTGAAAACTCCTTAAAGACCTATGATGAATGATACCATTCCTCAGGGGTTACCAATGACCTCTTATCCGTAACCATCATACTTTAATGCACTCAGCTACATTTTGCATTGGTGTAGTCCTCTTTGTGATGTCTAGAGTGGGTCATCAGTAGAGACAGTTAGCTGTTTCCATTGTGAAACAACACAGCTTTGAAGCTCCAGGATGAACTGTGTATGAATAGGCTCCATTCATTAGACGCCATGCAATACCTATAACGTGGAATAGACCGGCAACATCGTTGCAGATGCACAGTCTATCACGCTGACTGATGAATCTTTGAATCATCAACTAAGATCCAATGTTTGAGCGTAGATATCAGTAGTAGTTCATATCTTCAGTATTTGTCTAGCTACCTGACTTACTGCTGTCTCCTGAGAGACAGCAGTAAGTCAGATAGTTTGGCAAATATCAGAGCAGTGGTAATAGGGCAATAGAAGAAGAAGGCAATAGAAATAGAAGTACGCCCTGATATACAATCTAAGGGGCATATTTGCCTGCGTGACAATTTTTTGGATTTACCATGAAGAAGTAGCATTTGCTTGAGTGGTCCGTCAGCTCTCGCTAAATTCGTAGAATAACAAACTTCATGGCTCGCTTCTCTACTCTGTAGCAACTTATAACATGAATGTACCCTTGCATGTTCTATTTAAATTAGTTGATGTAGCAGCGCTCCCTTGCATGTTTTCATTATATATATATAATGTCCGGTCTGCGTTTATTGAAAGCTAAAAATCTCATTTTGAGCCATGCTACCTTCTGCTTAGCCCTTTCATTTTATTTATAAACCAATGTATTCCACTCGACAAAAACATTACTGTTTTAACGACCATCAAAAATTCTTTAAAAACAAAATTGCAAAGTATTACCGAAATCGACAAAGGTGTTCATTATCAATGATAGAATTCAATATCGGTATTTGTTAAGTTGTAGATTACTAGAAAAGTTTTGCTTAATAATTTTAATCACTACTTTCTAAAATATTCTTCTTTTTGTTAAAAGGCAATTTACGTCAACCCTCATATTGTTGTCAACAAAAATCTTTATCATTTCGGACAACTTTTGCTAGGAATTATTCAGTTCAACCAACATTTTTTGAAAAACAGCAAGTTTTAAATGAAACATGTAGAAAGCCAGTCGAACTACTATAAAAATATGGTCTGGCTCTAAACCACCTGAGTATGTATAACAGAATTCTTGTCCATTTTGCAAAAAAAACAAACTATTTTACCCCCACACAGTTTGGTTTCCTGAAAAATACTTCAACAGAGCATGCAATTATTGAGTTAGTTGACAAAATACGAACGAATTTGAAAAAAACCACTTCACTCTTGGAATATTTATAGATTTTTCAAAAGCATTTGACACAATAAATCACTCTTTTAGAAAATTTTAATTAATATGGTGTAACAAACAAAACATTTGGGTTAAACCGAAACCGAAAGCGTAGCCAATCCGGGTTCTGGTACATGAAACATTTTGCGTAGAGTTTTACAAGATTCAACCTTCGGCCCACTCCTATTTATAAATTGTATAAACGACCTTTGTAATGCACCTGAAAAATTCAATTCAGTTATGTATGCTAATTTATGCTAATAATACTAATTTATTTATATCCAATAATGATAACGATATTAATCACCTGTATGGAGATATGAATAATGAACTGATGAATGTAAATAAATGGTTTAGAGCCAACATGTTCTCAATAAACACAATACATATTATTTTATATTTTAACATTATTTAAAAAAAACAACAAGAAGAATATCTCCCACTTAAATTACCAGCTCTCTTTATAAATGATAAACAAATTTAAAAGCAGGAATTTCTAAATTACCTAGGAGTTTTTTGTAGATAAAAACTTATCATGACTTCCTAACTTAAAACACATCGAATCAAAATAAACAAAACTATAGGCATAATGTACAGAATAAGCCCATTACATTAATATTCTAAGTTGTAAACTAATATATTTTAGCCTAATTCATAGTTGCATTAATTATAGTAACATTGCACGGGCTAGCACACAATCTGCTAAACTTAAAAAGATATATAGCGTGCAAAAACTTGCAGAATTATATACCAAAAAAAATATATTTGAGCATGCAAAGCCATTAATGACGGAAATTGAAATGTTAAATGTAAATGAGATAAACAAATTTCAATACATGAACTTTGTGTATAATAATTTTATAAATCTTACACCAAACAGCTTCTAAGCAAAATTTAAAATAAATCAAAACAATAACTATTCTTTAAGATCTAATGAAAGGCTCGCATATACACTCGTAAATTAATTAAATATAAAGAGTACAGCATAGTATATCGAGAGCCTAAGATATGGAGCAGCTTAAAAAATAACCATTTCAATTTGATGAAATCAGTAAATTCATTTAATTTTCATTTAAATTTTTATTTTTTGAAATCAAACGAAAGCTTTGAAATTTGATATATAAACCTTTTTATTAAAATTAATTTCTTATATTTTTATTTTTTGTTTAACTTAATTTATTTTTAATTTTTTTAAAATAATTTCATTCATATTTTCTTTCATTTTTTTTCGTTTTTTATTTAAAAATAAAAAGTCGTTTTTTTTTTTTTTTTTTTTTATAAAAAAAGTTTTTTTATTTTCAAATAAAGTTTCTAAGTATTTTTATCTAAGTATTTTAATTGTGTGAACAGCAAAATATTCGTTGAAAAAAAAAAAAAGCTTATGTTGTTTCCTAGATTGCAATACTGCATTTTTGCTAACATGACTAACATACTTGCATTTTTGCTGTTAGCATCTTTCAATCTTTAAAATATATCATATTTATTGAGATACTCCCTTTTGCGTACGCGTAAATACTTTAAAAGAGTTTAAAGGTTTTGCTTGCAGTTTACTAAAACATTCTTTTGACATCTGCAGAAATTTGTCTCTGCATAAAACCTTTGAAGTAATTTGCGCCAAACTCTTATGACATGGCAATAAACACCGGCATCTAGTGGCTGCAGAATATGTGACGAATGACCTGGTAAGCAAACTAATTATATATTGTTTTCAATACAAATAAGCAAACCCGATTGGAAACATGTGTTTATTGTCTGCTTATGACTAAAATATGAGTACCAAATAATTATATGGCTTACCAAATAATTATATGGTAAATATGATAACCAAAGTTTGATTTATTTAATTAAATAATCAATTGATTAAACTAATTTTCTACCAATTGAGTAAACATAAGTTTACGAATTTTTATAGACTTTTTTAATGGCGGTAAAGTTCCACTGCACGAGTTGCTTATTTTCTATCCATCCAAACGGAGATGTTGCATACGCGGCATCGCCTAGAACACTTAAGCACTAATTTTAGTACAGACAATTTATTTGTTTAAAAATAATGAATAGCAAAAAACGATAACCAGCAGCATTAATGGAATTTCAAACTGTATAATTGATTTTTTTCATTGTTGCCAACCAATGATCGTTAATGATCGTTTAGCACCACTTCTACAAACTAAGTGCTGCTTTCCTTGATCAATAGATAAGTTATTTTTGTCGAAATTCCACAAATGACATAAAGTGTTTTCGGTAAGACCTGTTTCGTTGAATTTTTTTTGCAGTGTGTTGAAATACTTTGATTCTATTTCTTGAATGCAAAGAATGGTGTTGCAAATAGTTGGTAACTAAAGTGAAGACGTCATTGTAAATTCTACCAAAGTCTCAGTTGGATAAATTGATGAGAGTATCTACCAGAGTTGATTCAAAATGATGTATTAATCTTGTGTTTGAACTTTGTCAATCGTTTTGCGTATGCCGCTGACACGCCAGGAAAGATTCAACCATTCAGTATACCAGTTGCCACTTGTATACAGAATGGTTAAGATTTGTTGAGTGAAAGCTCGCCAATTTTTTATTTTTGTTAACTTGTAATATATATATATATATATATATATATATATATATATATATATATATATATATATATATATATATATATATATATATATATATATATATATATATATATATATATATATATATATATATATTTATATATATATATATATATATATATATATATATATATATATATATATATATATATATATATATATATATATATATATATATATATATATATATATATATATATATATATATATATATATATATATATATATATATATATATATCTATATCTATATATATATATATATATATATATATATATATATGTATATATATATATATATATATATATATATATATATATATATATATATATATATAATATATATACATATATATATATATATATATATATATATATATATATATATATATATATATATATATATATATATATATATATATATATATATATATATATATATATATATATATATATATATATATATATATATATATATATATATATATATTATTATTATTTCGCTCGAGTTTTTTCGTGGCATATTTTACACTCGAATAAGTTTGATAATAATCGATTTAAAAGTTGAATGAAGAATTTATGAAAATTCATTGGTCCTTTCAGACATAAATAATTAATAAAAACCCTATTTACCAAAGAAATAATTTACATATTTCATTTAACCCCATAATTCACCTTTTTTCCGTTTTTAACTCTTAACTTTTTACCAAAAATAGAAAAGTTAATTTAGAAAAAAATGCCTGAAAAGTTTAACTTTCAAGAGTTTTATGCCCATTTTATAGAAAAATATATTATAACGCGACCAAAAACATGAGCATTCATAGAAAAAACAAAATTGTAACGCGACCGAAAACTTGACCATTTATAGAAACATAACACAACCGAAAACTTAAGCATTCATAGAAAAAAGTTATTTATTTTGAATTAAAATTTTATATCATCTTATTCAAAAAATATTTGCAAAATGTTTATTCAATAAATAAATAAGAGCAAAAGATTAAACATTGTTATAAGTATTTCATTCTATCTTCCATTTTACTCAATCCTCCATTTCATTCTGTCCTCTATTTCACTCTACCCGCTTTTACTTTATTCATTATTGCTAAAAAGTAGTTGTAAAGGGCTTTTAATTGATCTTCTATAAATGAAAAATTGTATTAAAAAAAGTAAAAAAAATGGACGCACATATTGCAATCTATTAAAATTTTGATGTTCTTTTTACTTGTAATTAAGAAAAAAATCACAAGAAACGAATAACCAATTACCAAAAAATAACAAACAACTATTTAAATCTGGTTTTTGATGAATGTTTTTTTATTATATTCAATTAAGAAGAAACAATTAGTTAATTATAATTTCATTTGTTGTTTTAATAACTGTTTTGTTAAATACAGACGTACATACACATAACTAAACATAGTTTTTTTTTTTTTTTTTTGATGTAAAAACTATTAACAAGATATACTATACCTGAGCATTAATTTGATAAAATCCATCAAAATGAATTATTAAATACGAATCGTCTAGTAATGATATCATTCCAGATTGTTTTAGTACCTTCCAAATAAAAAATGTACCTATAATTGAATAAAACGTTCATTACTAATCTGAATCAAACATATTAAATGTAGGCACTTCACATTAGGGCTTTTCAAACGGGATCCCGTAGGTAAAATACCATCCCATTCTCCCGGGATTTCAATGAAATTTCCCGGGAATCCCGGTCATTTTTTTAAACATATTTTTACTCAAATTTTGAATAATAACATTTTTAATATCTTTACATTTATAAAGATATTAAAAATATTTTTACTCAAAATTTGAGTACTAGTTCCTTCCATTTCCCTTTTATAATGAATTTCTATAAAAATTAGGAAGGTATTTTATAGACGGCAATGAAGTCACCAATATTTTGCAGTTTTGGTTTGAGTCTAAGATAGATAAAATGCTATTATTGAATTTAATTTATAAATAGATTTGATTTACTTTTATGTTATAACTTACAGCATATAAAGCTTGAACAAACAAACCAAATCAATATAAAATAACCACGGACAAGTTACAAGTACTTGTACGTGCAAAAAAAGTAATTAGTTACGCATAAAAGTTAATAGTTAGTAAGTAAAGTAATTAGTTACGTTAAGAAAGTAGTTTTTATGTAAAAAGTGAAATAAGTAAAAAACCAAGTAAGTGAAGTTTAAAATATATATTTAGTAATTACAGCTAACTTTAAATAATTTAAGTAAATCTACTATCAGCACACTATTTCGGGTTTTAATTGTAGGTAATATAGTCTTATATTTATATTTTAATCAATTCAATTAAGAAGATAACAAAGATGTAAAATGAATCTAAGGCACGGAAAAATTTTACAAAAGAAAAAAACACAGAATCTGCCACTTGTAATATATGTAAAACAACAATATTATGCAAAGGATTTTCAACTAGTGGTCTTCTTCGTCATTTAAAAAATCTTCACAAGGAAGTCGAAATTGAAGTACCAAAAAAAGGTCAAAGGAAGACACAAGTTTTGAAGTTAGAAATGCTTAACCTAAAATTACGTCATTTATAAAAAAGGAATCTGTAGAAAAAATTGTTTCAAAATTGGCAGCTGTAGATGGTTTTTCTATTAATGCTATTGCAAAATCTGATTTTATAAGAAAATCTTTATTTGATAAAGGAATTATATTGCCAAAAAACCCTTCCATGTAATGAACTTGGTAAAAAGTCAATACCATATAGCAAAAAAAGCAGTGGAAATAACTATGCAAATTCAAGGTGGCTCAAGATTCTCAATTTCGATGGACAAATACACATTTTTAAAAAATCGTCGCTATTTGAATTTAAATGAGCGTTTATTAACTAGGCTTTGGAACTTGGGCATGGTTCGAATAGTTGGGTCGCTTCCAGCTGGAAAAATTATTGATGTGGTTGAAAATAAATTATCCGAATTTATTTTATCTACAAAAAAGCGTATAATTTTTAGTGTAACTGATCAGTTATGAAAAAATATGGTTGATTAGGTGGGATGAAACAGCAACTTTGTTATGCACATGGGCTACATTTAGCAGTTTGTGATGTTCTCTACAAAAAAATCAGTGATTTCAAATTCGTCGGGCAGTAAGTGTATTGCATCAGTCAGAAATCTGATGAAAATAATAGTGAAAACGACGAGTTTGAAGAAATCGATTTTACAACTTCAATGGAATTACAGTCAAGCCAAAACTACGATTTATTAAATTTACGAGACGTTGACGTCACTGACGAATCATTAGGCTGCATAAGTATAGCACAACAACATATTTCGAAAGTATATATATATGTATATGTATATATTTTCATATATTGTATATATTCAACATATATGTATATATTTCCAACATATGTATATATAATTCGAAAGGTCTGAAGCATTGTACGGATGTTTCGTAAATCACCACTCAAAAATGAAATTTTACAAAAATACGTAAAAATAACATACAATCAAGAACTCAAGTTAATACTGGATGTAAAAACAAGGTGGAATAACCTTCTTGCAATGTTAGAGCGATTTATTGCATTAAAAACAGTATATTAAAAGCATTGATAGATTTTAAACACAGCAATATTAACAATATTTTGGAGGAGAAAAATTTAGTGGTGCAGACTGTAATAACGGCGCTACAACCAATTAAATTGGGAATTGAAAGACTTGGCCGACACAACGCATCCCTACTTGATGCAGAAGGTGTATTAGTGTTTATATTTAATATTTTGCGCAAAAATAAAGATCGTTTTCGGTTAAAATGCTGCAGTGTGTGCAACAGAGAATTGTTGAAGGACGGAATAAAAATTTAGTTGGCTTGCCAAAATATTTAAATAATCCCTCAAATTATAAACACGAATCGAACATAGGTTCTGTATTATTGTTGCCTTCCAAATTAGTCCTTCAAGCTACGGCTACAAAATTATTTTCTAAGCTTTTTGTTGAGGATATTGATGGTGGTGGAAATTACGCTGAAATTGAAGAATTAGAACGCAGTAATGACGGGACTGAAACGTCAATAATGGCCGAACCAAATTTGAAGACAACATCTAAATCATCAATTCATCAAAAATTGGAAGCTGTCATTACGAACGTTAGTCGAATTGAGAGTCCAGAAGATGTGTTTTATGACGTTAAAAATATTACAAAAGAAATGGATATTTCTGATGCAACGAAAAAGCGTACAAATAATTTAGACAAATTATATAATGCTCTATTAACTATCCACCTTCAATCAATTTAGAAAGAGATTTTTCTGCGGCAGGTCTTTTTATTGCGAAAATTCGGTTACTGTTAAGTGCGCTATTGACAATTTATGTTTTAATTATTTTAAAAGTTAATATATATAAAATATAATGTTATTGAAGTTTATATTTGATTTATTTTGAAAGTTTTAGTTTCTAAGAATTATTTTGTCTTTATTTTTTTGTTAAAAGTAATAATATTTAAACCCTTTTTTTTTGTATTTGTTTGAACTTACGAAACTCCCCCCCCCCCCCCTCAACTAGTTTTATAAATTCTTGCTTGTTACCTAATCCCGGGAGCCCAGGAAATTATTCATTTGTCCCGGAATCCCGGGAATTAGATTTTTACGGGAAATGAGAAGCCCTTGGTATTAAAAAACTAAAAAGTCATTCGTTCTTGGTACCAAGAACAAGGACTTTTTAGTTTTTTAATACTAGTTTTACATATTGTCCTGCATTTTGGTCCTGAACGTGGCTCTTGTTGTGACCATGGTCCATGACATTGTCACGACCATGTCCTAATCATAGTCTCTGTCAGGAAGTTCTTTAAGATATTTTTTTATGTTAAGTTCTTTATCTTTTAAGACTTAAAACATATTTGACAATTTTTTTTCGAATACATGCAACTTCAGCTTCAAAGTTAGGTTATTGTAAGACATCTGGCTGTAATAGGTTGCTTTCACTCTTCTAGAATGTCATATTTATATTTAAAATTTATTGCATTATGTCGACTCATGGGAGCTACACGCTGATTTTCATAGATTTTTCTTAATTATTAACTAACAACCTTAATACTCGAACTTTTTTTTTATTCCTCAACTTATTATGTAATCTGGTGGATACATTGATGCAGCCGCGTCTTACGGATCTGTCACTTTAAATTATATAAAACTTTGATTATAAATCTTTTTATATTGAACCAATTGTATTTTTTTTTTATTTGTTTTTGTTTTTCTTTAATTTCTGATTAATTTGCATATTGAATTGTATAAATATCAGCATGTGCTTTAGAAAATGAACTTTAAACTTGTTCATTAAACTTTAAACTTGTACATTAAACTTTAAACTTGTACATTAAACTTTTTTATTATTACAGGAGACCCACTGGTTTTACAATTAGACTATTGCTTCAATTTGGAAATGTAAATGATTCAATTTTAATCAAATATCTCCTAAAAAAATACACTGGATTAAAAACAAAATATTTCTATAAACTGGTGCTTAATATATAAGTCAAGTGACAAGGAAGAGTATGGTCAACGAATATTGGAACTGTCTGAATTCTGGAGTCAAGTAAGATTTACTAAGTTATATATACAATATATAGAAAATTATTGGCTACCAATTAAAAAGTATGTAAAATATAAAATATTTTGGAAGCAAGTAAGACGTTTTGTATATATTTATTGTCAAAATACAGGATGGTTTAACAAAGAGTTGTTTGATTTTTTTTAACTGAACAAACCATATTAAAAGAAGCCTTTTTTAATTTAGAAGTGGGTTTGGTGGTACTGGCAAGACTGTCTTCTCATTGATTGCAATACAAACAATGGTGTGGAAAGGCAGAATGAGTCTTTCAAATATTCTTATCTACAGAAGCATAAAAACTCATCATTAACTGGAATGTTAACTTTGCTTATTGACGACTTCTTCATTGTTAAACTTTTCAGTTATCATTTGTTAAAGTTTTGTTGGGTCTGTATAAACTTGTAAAAGTAATACACACCTAAATAAAAAAAGAAATACTTGCTCTGGTTTGTTTTTCAGTAGAAAATCCTGTATTAGTTAAAAAAATAAATTCAGAAAACCTAGGTTAAGCATGTGATTTAAAAAATCTTATACCTAAAACTTAGGTACCAGCAGGTTTTTACCTGATATACTTAATAATAGTTCATAGTCTAGATTATTAATATGACTAATATAAAACTGTTTTTTTTTCTTATCATTACATTATGCATTTTAAAGATATCGTGTCTATAATACTAAATACCAAATCACTTAAATATTTGTGCATTTACACAATATTGGAATTTTCCTAAAACTTTATTAAAGAACTTTGTTACTATGAATATTATTTCTTTTAGCTATACCGATTCCAGCTTTAAAATGGATGTACGTTGCAGAAGGTATGCATGTTGGGTGCGAAGTTATCTTTACAAACATCCTCATAGCTTTGTTAAACATTGCCTAGTAAAAAAGTAACGTTGGGAACCTTGATATGTCCAGAGTAAACATGATTAAACATGGAGTTTTTGCTGTATTTAGCTGTACCAAGGAGACTACTAAATATTTTATATCATTTGGTGAT